CCTTGCGGCTAAAAAGGCCTGCCCTGCTGCGTCCCAGGGACGGGCGGGGGTCGCCCCGTCACAGTAACTATTTTTTTTTAAATCTATATTTGCTAGCATTTAAGAAATAGAGCAATAGCCATTGTAACCATATGCTTTTATACGTCTTTTTAATAAACCTGTAACTGTTTAAGCTTTAACTTGACTCTTTCAGTTGCTGTAACAGAACCAAGCACAATTTAAAAGAACTTCAGCCGGTCATAAGGGACAGGTATAGGAAGAGCTCAGGCATTTGGATTTGTGTCACTCCCAGGTGACAGATGCATTGTGGCATCTCTCAGTCTTTCCCAGATTGCCCACTGTGAAAGGATTCTGCATCCTAGCAGCAGAAATCTGAGGTGTAATAAGCTCTTCCTATAAAGGGGCATCTGTTGGCCTGCTGGCTACCCTCTGTGATGGTACCCCGGTCCTAGCAGTAAAAACACGGATGTTAAACCTTTTCTCGGAAACACACACACACTGCCCTGACCGTCGGCTGACAGATCCCTACCATGATATCACCTTTGTTTTTTACTTCTTTTATCCTTATACAGAAACTCTCATATAAAGAGTAGCTGCCTTGTGACAGGGATGGACTCAATGACCTCTTGAGCTTTCCTCTAGCCCTGTAGTTCTATGATTTTATTACATACATTTTTTCTTCTTTGGCTGGGCTGCAACATCATGAAAGCAAAACTAAGTTTTCACTGAATTTGACTCTGAGCAATTAGCACAAACAGAAAATAGTTTAGAAGTTACTAACCAAATGCTTCATTTTCAGACATGGACTTCTGGATGGATCTGAAAGAAATCAAAGAGTGTATCATTAGCTGCCATTTAGAGTTAACAAGTACAATAAATATATTTATTTACTGATATTTTCTGACAAATTCTTCAAAGCAGTGTGTACAAATTTAGCTGTGCTACTTCCACTGGCTTTAAATCGAGTTATCTAACTTTTCTCTTACACACAATCACACATTCCATAATGGAGTTTTGAAAGTTTATTCCGAAAAGCCATTATTGTTGGAGTTTCATTTTGGAATGGAAAAGCATTAGCAGTACAGTTAAATAGCCTGTCAAGAAGACACAAGGAGATATTTTTCATTGAGATGATCAGAATCATCTCAGAATTGTAGCCCTCTAGAACAGGGGTGAGCAAACACTGGCCTGCAGGCCTCATCCACTGAAAAAATTAGCCCCTGGCAAACCCCCACTCCACCATATTTACCTGCGCCTCCATAGGTATGGGGGATTGCAGCTCCCATTGGCTATGGATCGTGTTCCCAGGCAATAGGAACTGCATTCCCCCATACCTGTAAAGGCACAGGTAAATATAGTGGCAGCAACTAATCCTGGTGAACCACCACCATTTTATTGCTCACCCTTGTTTTAGAAACTGAAATGTGCTACTTTGCTAATGGAATGAACCAAAATCGTGGATCTGAACATAACTGACTTTAAGATGCCCAAAATCTGAGTCCAAATTTTCACCTCAATCTTCTACTAGTTTTTGGATACCTGTATTTGATAGTAATATACCTATAGACTGTGATAATTCTTTCCACATATATCCATTTAGAGTCATTTAGTTTTATATATTATCATTAGATGTGTATACCAAGTTCAATTAAAAAATTAATCACTCTGAATCAATATAATGTTAGCTTGTGAATTATTTTTTCCATCCTATCCACCTCCCTCTGGCAGCTATACAATGTTCTGCAGAAAACAGGAAATTTCTGATCTACCTGTGGTGGTATGATTTGAGTATCAAGATGGTTACATTTTTCAGGTTGAGTGAATCTATTTTCTTCCTACTTACTATTTTTTTTATTTATAGACATAGATCAAACAACTGGACTTCCAGATTAAAGGTTGTTTGCAAAGTTTTGACTTGGATCATTCACTTTTATTTTGTATTGTGTTGTTGGTTATCTGAGTCATATGTTACTGTTTCTAACCAGTGATGAGAGTTATTGAAAAAATTTAACCTACACTACTAAATTTTACCATATAAATAAACCATAACACTCAAGCTCATAAAGAAGTGACTTTTGCCCATGAAACCTCATGATATTATATATATTTTGTAAGTCGCTAAGGTGCCACAGGACTACTCATTATTTTTAAAATTACAAATTAAGTCAGCTATCCCTCTGAGCTACATAAATATGTCAGTTAGTAGTGTGTTGTTTTATTGCAATAGTTATACCAGTAAATACTCAATCATGGACACAGTTATACCTATATTAAGGTGTCTTACACACTGATATAATTACTCCCCTTCATGTAGAGTATAATCTATACAGGCATAAAGCCCATATATACCACTATAAATGCTAGGAGGGTAGTACCAGTAGAGTTAAAGTAGACAAGTCACATGGGAACAATGAACAAATCACAAATGATTAAGTTGCAGTATGTGAACAATCATTCATGCTAAAATTCATTACACTTTTGAAACTTGTGAACATTTTCACAAGGATCAGTATATATCAAAATACTGACCAACAACCAGTAAAATTTCAAAAATCATAGTACACTTATAAATCAGTGTTCTTAGCATTTTAGCAGATCTATAATAAGAACATTGGCCAAGATCTTGAAGTTTTCCTTTTATCTTTGAATACTTTGGTGTCTCAGCTATATTTGCTGGCAACACTTATTCTGAAGTTATTAGAGTCTACATTATAAATAGCAAAACTAAACACATAATTCATACGGAGTCCAGGGATTTTCATGTCTGTCATAGACAGACAGATAAGCTCTCTTTCAAACATCCTATTAGATGAGATTTCATTTGAAAAAGACCTCTTTAGCAATGCAATAACCTGCATTCTTAAGCCAACAAAGAATTCTCAGTAAATTCCTCTACTAGCTTCTCCCTAGACTGTTAGTATTTACTGGTCATTAGCCCAAATCATAACATTGGCTCACGTACAACATACTCAAACAATGCTGCTGTCACAGAAATACTTTAGAAAATACAGTCTGGTTAATCCAAATCATTTTGCAAACTAATTTTTTATTTGGATTAAACATAACTAAAAACCCTTCAAAAGATTATCAGGTCAATGGTACAAACATACTAGAAACTGGGTTACCACTTAAATCTTTCAGAAAAACAGACATATGGTCCTGGCAAGCTCTGATTAACAAGGATTCACTGCATTTGATTTTGGATGTCCTGGATCCTTTCTTTTGAATGGAAGGCTTTATGCATATGAAAAAAGCAATGGTGAAGGACCTTTGGTAATGCATTTTGAGCTTGTAACTTTCTTTACAATCTGCAATACTTTTAGAATATTTATACACCATTAATAATACATGTGCAATTTGTAATAAAAATGACAAGGTTAGGATGTACAGACAAAAATACTGACAAGTATAGAACTTGACATGAACTCAACTTACTTTTTCTTTCTTGTCAGAGTGTTCTCAAAATCAGAAAATTCCTTTAAAAAGACAGAAAAATATCTGTGAAATACAATAAAATTTAATCCACATTCAACACTATCAACTTGGGCTTGAATAAGGATATTAACTGGTTAATGCACTACAGAGACAGTTTCCCCTGGCTTTGATATTCACATTTACACATCAAAAGCTATGAATGGGACACATCCAGCCTGAGTCAACTAGCATCATTAACACTAGTCCTACAATTGACAGGTAACTGTTTTTGTTGTTATATATACTCTAGATTCTGTTATTTCCACTCCAACTCATCTGATGAAGTGGGCTTTATTCCCAAAGCTCATAATATAATATATTCATTAGAATCTAAGGTGCCACAGGACTGTGATTTTCTTTTAAAGTTACAGACTAACATAGCTACCCCTCTGAGGCTAATCCACATATAATATTCCTTGTACAACACAGGGTATGAAAGAAGCTATTATATTCTTTTCTATTTATGTTTATTACATACTAGTATATAAAGTATTTTCAATATTTTAGGTAGGGAGACACTATACCATGGAAAAGATATGTAGTCGAACTCTAGGAGGTTTGGTTTTCAGGGATTTGAAATATATACTTCCCAATGAGATATGTTTCCCAATGAGTGCACAAGACACTGAAATTGACCCTTTCAAGCATAAAATCTCTGAAAAATCAACCCTCATTATTCTTATCAGCTAGCAAGTGCCTTATTTGTTCAACAGTGTGATTCCTAGAAATATTCTCTTATAAAGTTCAAAATAGCTGCACGTATTAGTACATGTATGCACATACTTGCCCATTGGATAAGAATATGGCTTTAGAAGGAAGAAGAAAGATGCAAGCTGTGTATCTTTGTTTAAATGCATGGAATATCAATGTACGAAAGATATCAGGAAGCTTATTTTGAGGGGGGGAGGAGTTAAATCCTCACTCTTTAGGTCAGTTGGACCCACCTTGGTCTTGAAGTAAGCTTAATTTCAAGAACGGCTGCAGAAGACAAATTAGGTTAGAACAGAATCTCTAATTGCAATATTATTTGACACCCTTTTATACACAATGTGTGGACAATAAATCAGTTTCATGTCTGTTGATGCCTGTGATGGAAGCAAAAATAAGGGGAAAATGCTTGTGATGCACCCTATTTTGACTGGATAGACAGTGATACATTCAGAAAAAGAAAAAGTAATATAAATAACTTTGCAGCTATTTCCCTCATACTTCTTTTTATTTTATTTCACTTAAGTTTTTTCATTTAATACCATCTGTGTTTTTATATTGTGATCAACACCATTGGATCTAAAGAAATTCCTCCATAAAATTTAATGTAAAATATGGGGAGGGGTCAATCAAATGTGAAATTTAAGTATTAAACGACTTGTTACGCACTTTTCATGTCTCTTTTGGAAAAAAGGTTAAAGGGGATACTTCCATATAGATTGTGTGGGGTTATTTTAGCTGGAGTAGAAGGTTCAATTAGTGACCTGGCATTTTGATTATTATATGTGCTTTAAAAAAAATCTTTATGCACCTGGAGATTTGTTCACTAGTGCAGAGCACAAATCAAAATAGTAAGCAATATTCAGTCTTTTCTTTGACATGCTGCATGCAATTTACTATGAATGTCTTGCAGATTAAAGTACAATATTTCAGTCTTAGGATGTTCATAGGAGGCTATTAGTTGCCCTAAGAGAAATAGCTTCATTAAGTTAGGCTCAGATCCTAACACACAGAAGTCCACATCACAAACCAGAATTAATTAATGCACTTTCAACTCAGGCAAGATCTAGAATTTACCCAGATAAAAGATTACCTTTTTCAATGTTCCAAATTTGCTACTTCATCATTGTACCTATAAGGACAAAATACAGTGTTCCACACAAAGTGCTATATGAAAAACTAGGAAGAGTTCACAGGTGTTAATTGTAATGCTTTTATGGTGCTGTGTCTGATAAAGGTGTAGATAAAACTCTAGAAAAGATATGTTTATTCTCCCTGCTGTGCCCTTCTACTGTCCTCCTCCCTCAAATATACAGTAAGTGCAGAGAGGTTGTAAGAGCAATATATCAGAGAGTTTTCTTGGAAAGCATAGTGCCAACAACTGCTGTAACATATTGATGCACTTTGATTTGTCAATAATGTTCACAGGGGAAGAATCGTGTTTGGGTGTCTGAGACCTTTGGTCAATATTATTAAGGATTAAATGCCCTCCAAATCCTTAGCAGGTCAGTGCCTCAAGTTGAATTGCGCCTCTGGCTTTGCAGCCAACAGTCCTAGAAAGAACTTTATAAACCAGAATCCATCTATTTTATGTGTTGTCAACCAAGAGACAATATTAACACAAGACAGAAGCAATGTTCCCTCTAATCCTTTCCATTCATGTATGGATTTTTTTTCCATCCATGAGCAGAATACATGTTTATGTGCACCGAGACATGTATGATTTTGCACCACCAGTAGAAACTAAACTTTGCTGTGGACACTCTGCTAATCAGCTGAGTTTGAATCTCTCCTGAGTGATCACACAAGAGCACAGCTTACAGGGAATACTGGACAGGAGAGACTCCCAATTCACTCATTGGGAAATATGGGAAGATTAGTCCCAACTGAATATTTTATGACCATGTAGAATTAGTTCTGCATGTCTCATTTTCCTCATTGGAAAAAGATCACAATACACCAAATATCAATTTATTCACCCATCCAGAAATTAATTAGTGACAATGTATTGTTTTATTATTCTAATCAATTATTAATAAACTCATACACTGTAAAGCCGGAAGCCTGACATAGAACATCCCTTCATTTTCCATTGGCACTGAATATGAAAATATAGGTGGGCCTGTTTGGACTATCATTTCAGATCTATGCTTCAACAAGTGTTTATTTAAATCTACTTAGATGTTTATATGCTGTTACATGGCTTTGCGGGTGCTTTACTGGACATACTGAAACAGTGACTAAAATATTAAAGTATGATAGCGGTCTGAAAATGAGTATGTAAAAATTGTACCTACTTACACAACAGACCTGCTTCTTGTCATGGCTTAGTCTGACTAGCTTACCTTAGGCACAAAAATAAATTATTTGCAATGTAATATCAATGTAGCTGTGGAAAAGAGCTGGATTATCACCAGCATATTACCAAGATTTCTGACTATATTCTATTTGCAGAATAGAGGTTGGTCCTCTCAGTTTCTCCTCTACTACCTGCAGTAGGGCTTCTCTAGGACATTGGCAATTCTCATAAAAGTCTGCCCTGGGGTCCAATGATAAATAACACTATTCTCCAGCTGCCCAGCTTTGAAGGCAGAGTCGCCACCGGCAGCAATACAGAAGTAAGGTTATCAGTAGTACAAACCCCTACATTACTCTTGTGGCACCCGGCACTGAACAAGGTGGGATTAAAACCCTGTGGGCGGAAGAAAACCTACCCCTTCACCCAGACTGGGCATGTTCCAAATGCTTGTCCGCTCATTCTGGGCTGGCTATGGGAGGAGAAGGACCTCCAACAGGAGCTCCAGAGCCCAGTGGAGTAAGGTGTACCTGGGTCCCCCTACTGGGGCTGTTGCCCTCAACTTATTGATTCTGGCCATTAGGCCATGCTTCTGTGAGTTAAGGGCTCCCCCTTTTACTGACTCTGGTTGTTAGACTGTGTACCCCTTATTTAGTCTGGCCCTGGGCTAAGGGCCACCCTCTTTTATTGACTCTGGCTGTTAGACTGAGCCATCCTGAGTTAAGGGATAAACCCTATTGACTCTGGCCATTCGACTGTATTGCTCTGGGATAAGGGCTAACCCCTATTGACTTTAGCCATTAGGCTATACTACCCTAGACCATGAGTTGTTTCTCACAGACTAAAAGGGGTTGCCTATGACCCAGCAGCCGACTAGGCAGTGTCCACACCCCTGAGTACCCTCACCCCAAAGGCCAGGGGGTACATATGTCGCAATATACCCGAACAACTCCTTTTTGGGTCAGGATCCCTACAATTACAACACCCTGAAATTTCAGATTTAAATAGCTGAAATCTTGAAATGTATGGATTTTTAAAGTACTATGACTGTCAAATTGATTCAAGTAGATGGCAAACAGACCCTCCAAAGGGGGATGGGGGGAAGCGGGCAGTTGCCCCAGGGCCCAGTGATTCAAAGAGGCCCAGGGCTCTGTACAGCTCTGAGGGCTGTGGAGTAGGGCACGCTGCAGTCTGGGTGACATCATGGGCTGGCTAATGTCTGCCTTTGCAGCAAATTGTTCAGACAGATGCAGTGTTCCCTGAAGGTATGTTTCACTCCAAACAGGGAATTTTGTTCCACAGCTCAAGGCCCTTTGCTCTATGTCCAGCCCCCATCTTTTAAAGTAAAGGGCATCAAGACTGAACCTCTCTTCTGGTCATAGCTGCAGCAATATGGCAATGAAGAGAAAGGTGATCCCTCTAAGAGAAACACTTTGACTTCAAAGCATCAGTTTTTTAATAAGGTTCATGCATGAAGAACACAATATGGGCTATGCTAGGCCTCAAGTCAGCAAAACACTTACACGCATGCTCAAAACACTCCCTATTCATCAATGCAGTTAAGCATGTGCATTCCTGAATTAGAGCACTAGAAAGTGAATGATGCTTAGAAGCTACCAAGTGTGGGGGAGCACCCTGTGGAATGGAACTGAGTGATGTAATTTAAAATGGGGGAGGAGGACAAATGGGCTCAGTTTATAAGCTTCATGGCTGCACATAAGGTGTAAGTCTGGCAACCAACATGCTAGAAATAGCAAGTGAGATTATGCATAGCACATGGGCCTTAGCTGCATTTTTTAACAGGCCCTTACAGCTCAAACGTCATCATTAATCTCAGTTTCCATTTCTAGAGACTATTTTATAAATAACCACGTTGATTCTGCAGCCAGCACAGTGACACAGCATGCAGACGTTATTTTTAGCTAACTACTCAACTGAATTTTCCTGAAAAACCAAAACAAAATAACTCCCCTGACCATCTTTGTATGTGTCTCATTA